GTATCTCAAATACCTCCCGATTCTTTCTTTCAGACAAAGTGGTAAAGAAGGGGAAGAAGGATAAAAAGACCAAAAAGTCGGTAAGTCTTGTCCTCTGTTGACTTCACCACCATTTGGGCTCTGCGTGACGTCCATGAATCTGGACGCGCTCTCTAGTTCTGTTGACCTTCATGAGAACTTTGCCACCTTCCACAAATGCTCCATTTCCTCCTCCAAACACTTCAGCATTTTGGGACTGTGCACTGGTGGTTGTTAACTGCACCTGTAGCACTTCTTGATGTCCCAGAGGATTTATTTTTGGTTTTTGGAGGGGATGGAGAAGCCTTTTGCCCTCTTTCCAGTAGGGGGGTAGTGGTTCGGAGGGAGGGGGCTACTACCTCCCTGCCACTATCCTAAACTTTTCCCCTTCTGTCTCCCAAGTTCTTTGAGGAACTGGCTGTGGAGGAGAAACATGCCAGTGAGGAGCAAGCAGTTGAGAAAGAGCAGCAGCAGCAACAACAACAACAACAGGTAAGTGACTTTGGAACCAGGAGTGCCAAGCAGAATCACTGAATCGTAGAATCATAGACTGGTAAAGTTGGAAGGGACCACGAGGGTCATCCAGCTCAACCCCCTGCAATGCAGAAATCTTTTGCCCAGTGTGGGGCTTGAACCCACGAACCTGGACTTGTCACCAGAGGGCATGCTAGTTGACCACATTGGGCTGCACTGGATTTAGGGTAGTGTGGGCCATTTCTCCATACAGGATGCCAAGCTGAGGGAACACAAAATAATAATGATAGTAGTAGTAGTAGTAGTAGTAGTAGTAGTAGTAGTAAAAGTAATAATAATAATAATACAGGTACCTTATTATTCTTAAAATAAGAAATATTGGGCAGGGAGGGTGCCAAATTTTGCCCTGGTTCAGGGCGCCATATTACCAAAGTCCACCTCTGCAATGGGGCTGAGGATGTTGCAGTGCCACGGGGAGATAATTTGCTAAGAAAGGCAGGTTGTCCCACCTTCTTCATGTTTGTTTGTTCGTTTCCTTGTCTGTTTTCATGGCTGCAGCAGCCCCAGCAAAAGAAGCGACGAGACAAGAAAAAAGACAGAAAGAAAAAAGATGCGGAAGACGACGACGACGAGAACCAGCTGATTGAGCGGCTGAAGAAGCTGTCGGCCCAAGCCAGCGATGAGGAAGAGGAAGGTTGGAGGCTGCGATCTTAGGGGGGGGGGAAGAGATTTTCTACATTGGGGCTGAGGAACCTGCCCAACCCCCTAGACCAGTGACAGGGAACTGGTGCCCCCTACCCCTCCTGATGTTGCTGAACGACAACTCCCATCTGCCACAACCGCTATGGCCCGTGGCCAAGGCTGATGGGAGTTGCAGTCAACATTGGGAAGGCCCATGTTCCCCACTCCTGCTCTGGGATCTTGCTGGGGACTATAGTTCCCATCAGCCCTGACCCTTTGGCTATGCTGCCTGGGGCTGCTGGGAGTTGTGGTCCAACAGCCATCTGGAAAGCCACAAGCTGGTCACCCTTCGCTCTGTGTGAGTTCCAAGACATTTCTTCCCACTGGTCCTTAGGACAGGGGTTGGGGACCTTCTTTTCCTCAGGGGTTATCTGTTGGAAGGTGAATGTAGGTGGTGGGTGGAAATGGAGCTTGTGGTGGCTAGTGGGCAGGGCCACTCCTTCTCTTTCTGCCACCTCCAATAATAATAATAATAATAATAATAATAATAATAATAATAATAATATAATAATATTTATACCCCGCCTATTTGGCTGGGTTTCCCCAGCCACTCTGGAGCGCCTCCCAACAGAATATTAAAAACACGATAAAACACCAAACTTTAAAAACTTCCCTAAACATGGTTTCCTTCAGGTGTCTTCTAAAAATCAGATAGTTATTTATTCCCTTGACATCTGGTGGGAGGGTGTTCCACAGGGCAGGTGCCACTACCGAGCAGACCCTCTGCTTTGTTCCCTGTAACCTCACTTCTCGCAGTGAGGGAACCGCCAGAAGGTCCTCACTGCTGGACCTCAGTGTCCAAGTTGAACTATGGGGGTGGAGGCGCTCCTTCAGGTAAACTGGGCCGAGGCCATTTAGGGCTCTAAACGTCAGCACCAACCCATGTAAAGAAGACTTTCATGGTGGGTGACTTTATACACTTCCATATTTTACTTATGTTATTACTCTGATATCCCGCATTTCCTCCAAGGAATTGAAGGTGGCCTAAGGGATTCTCCCCACTTCCTCTTCTATCCTCACAACAACTGTGTGAGGTAATTTAGGTTGAGTCTGACTGGCCCAAGGTGCTTCATGGCTAGGTGGGGATTTAAACCCAGATCTCTCAGGTCCTGGTCCAAAACTCTAACCACTTCGCCACACTGGCTCTCATATGATGTCCCTATTGTAATCCCCCACAAATGTCCCAGAAAAACTGAGACATCCCGTTTCCCCATGAGAGCACAGCAGCCATCTTGGGTACCACAATATCTCGTGATTTCACGCTGCGATCTCATGCAGCACCTCAAAATGCACGTTTTTTAATGCAGTGAAAGCGCGAAGTGTGTCTTGTGGGCTCCATGATCTCTCACGTGTCATGTGACTTTCATGGGAGCACGAACAGGAAGTGGCACGTCCCAGTTTGGGACTCAATGCGTTGTAGGGTATGCTGTGTGTTTGATTGCCCTGTGGACAGGGCATGTGGTCAAACTATGTAGCCTTTTGGTGTCTTCTGCTCAATTATTGCAGGAGGGATTTTGATTACAGTGGTACCTCGGGTTAAGTACTTAATTCGTTCCAGAGGTCCGTTCTTAACCTGAAACTGTTCTTAACCTGAAGCACCACTTTAGCTAATGGGGCCTCCTGCTGCCGCCGCGCCACCGGAGCACAATTTCTGTTCTCATCCTGAAGCAAAGTTCTTAACCTGAAGCACTATTTCTGGGTTAGCGGAGTGTGTAACCTGAAGCGTATGAACCTGAAGCATATGTAACCCAAGGTACCACTGTATTTATACCTCTCCTTGATGACTGCCTATGAGAAACCTTCGCCAATCACAAAGTGCAAGAGGGCCACAAAGCACAGTTCTAGAGAGTTAGACTGAATGGACCAGGGAGCTTGTCTCCCATACCCCTCAGGCAGATGTAAAGTGCAATGTGCAATAGTTGGTGCAAATCTATCATTACAAAAGACACACTGCTGGGGAAAAGTGTGTGCATTTTATAACAAGTCAATGGAACTGGAACAGCTGTAATAAAAAGTGATATTCACAGAATGTGTACTCTGCTGGAAGGCTTTACCGTGAAAAAAGGTTTTAAAGTATCAGGGCTCACTCATTTCTCAAGAGAAGAGACCTGTTGAGATGAGAGGATTTCCCATCCATTTTCCCTTGTAACACAAGCTGCTGTTACTCTCTGTGTCTTTCAAAAAACAGAGCAATTGGGAAATGGCACAAAGAGAGAGCAAGCAAAGACAAATTAGCAGCTTCTCGTGAAATTGACAAGAATACACCATGATTTTTAACAGCTAATTAATTATACCCTGACTTTGTCACCTTCAAGGCTGTGTTGTCCACATTGCCAGTCCAAAACCTTGAGAACAATTAAACAATTAATGCCGTGGCTTGTTAATATATTATGCCAAGGGTGGGATGACACTCTTTTATTATGTATTTATTTATTTTACAAATGTGTACATCACCCTCAATCTCCAGGAAGTGTTTCAAGAGTGTGAGATTCCTTTCAGCACCAGACTGCTTTCTAAACCAGCTTTTTATCTTTTTAAACTTTCAGGCTACAGGAACTGGATGTTGCACACTATAACTGGCTCTTAGGATCTCTCCTGCGCACACACTCAAATTGAAAAATCCACCGGGGTCACCATCTATACATGAGTTTGTGGGTAATCTTGTCATCTGTGCATCCAAGGACCTCCATACACACATCCCAGCAAGTGATCACAGATCCTCCAAGTGTCCCTATTTTCCAGGGACAGTCCTGGATTTACAGAAGCTGTCCCAGTTTCTGATTTGATCCCAGAATATTCTGCTTTTACTTATGATGTCCCTATTTTCATTGGAGAAAATGTTGGAGGGTATGGAGTTATGTGACCCCCAAGCAAAGGAGATAAGTAACTATACAACCTTTAAAGGACAGTCCTGTATAGGGGAGTTTTTAAATGTTTGTGTTTTTATATATGTTGCAATATATATGTTTATATATGCACAGAGTGGCTGGGGCAACACAGTCAGATGGGTGGAGTATTATTATTATTATTATTATTATTATTATTATTATTATTATTATTATATAGGACATCCCTATTTCCATCAGAGAAATGTTGGAGACTATGTGATCACCAAATTAAAATGAGTATTTTCTTCAAGTAGGAAATGCTTACTGATACACACGAAAATTTATTCAACCAAATCAGTGTTTTAAGGAACAGTTTTCTTGTTCCAGTACAGAAATCTGTGACTGTTTCTACACCACTCCATGAAGCTAAAACAATTTAAGTATATCATCTCAAGGAGCTGGTGGAACAAAACCATATGGCTGTAATGATACAAAGCATTAAATGTAATCAGGCCAAGTTAAATTTCCCTGTCTTCTGTATAGCTCAAGTTATTTAAACAAAAGTAACAGTGGGTGGCTTGAGTCAAATTACATTCACTGTAGGACATCAAATGATACTATAATTAACCACAAGATTTTGTACAGTTCTGGTTTTTCCTTTGAATAAATGATACTAACCAATCTATTGACTTGCACCTATTCGCATTTTTCCTCCCTTGACATCCGGGTGAACTTCATCAGTGACAGGACATCAAGAAAAATTAATCAGCCTTGCATAATTAATTAGTTAAACAAGATATCTCAAGTACACTTTGAATGCCCCAGTAATTTAGATTAAACAATATTTTCAGTAAACTGGTCTCACTGTGTTTACAATGGCAAGGGATTATCACACACACAAAACCCCTTTTAATGACCAAGATATTAAGGAATCCTATTTGTGTATTCATGAACTTATGGGCTATATAATAGCTTTCCTCCCCGTTTTGGCATTTTAATGTGCTAAGAAGCAGGCCTACGATGCATCACAGAAAGTACCAGATTTACATATAAGCTAAACAAGCTATATCTTAAGGCCCCACTCTCTTGAGGCCAGAAAAAAATTCAAAGGGGTACATTTCCAAAATATAAGATAAAAAAGAAAATGGCTTTAGATACCTATTAGGTCCATAAATTACCATATAGCAGGTTTCCTCAACCTCAGCCCTGCTAGCTAGGGATCATGGGAGTTGTAGGCCAAAAACATCTGGAGGGCTGAAGTTGAGGAAGCCTGCCATATAGCATATATTCAACACAAAAAACAGCGACAATTTGTTGTTGACAAAGGACAGCTGGACATATAAAGGGCCCCATTACCTTCAGTAGCTTAGGGCCTCATCAAACCTAATTCCAGCCCTGAGCACAGAGAGCAGGATCGTAGGGAGGCAGAGAATTGGTGCCCCATGAAGTGATGGCTGGTGCCCACTGGGACCAGAAGGGCAGAATGCTGGGAGTTCAAACTGTAGGTGGAACCAGAGCCAATGGCAGGCATGACCAACTCATTTGAGTTTTGTTTCCATCTTCTCCCCTGGAGGCTGGCTGAAGACAGAATGAGGTTGGTGGGGCAGTGCCCTATTTGCCCAAATGGGCCAGCCCCCACCGGCCCCCTGTGAAATGCCCCTGATTGTTTGTTTATAAGGGTTCTCATTTGTTTATTACTTTCTTGATACGGTACTTCCCCTACATGGAAAGACAGGCTCTGGTTGATTGAGCAGATGAGGGAGTCCAAGGGTCAAGAAGGCAGTAGAGGGAAAGGAGGGGCAGCTGGGGCTTGTCAACCTGGGAAGGTGGCCCATCTAGGAGAAGGAAAACTCTGATCCTAAACCTTGCTGCCTTGTGGGCTAAGGTATAAAGCCCACACAAGCCCAGAGTGGAATCCCTATGATGGTTGGATAGTACTTTGTACGCCTCCTTCTGGCAACTCCTGCAACCAAGCTGGTGTGAAACTTATTGGTCTTCTTTCCTTTGGACCACATAAGCAAGGCCGAGAGGTAGGTCTTGTTGTCTGGGCAACCAGGACGTCTTTACACACTGCCCAGGCTTACACCCTGGGGAGGTCACTTCAGTGCTAACAAAGCAGTTTGACAATGGAGGTGCACTCTATTGTCT